GTTTGCAGACCCAAGGAGCCAGGGGGGAGACCTAGACCCACACTTGTTTTTGTGTGTGAATATTATCAAGTACGTTTTACGTAACGTTTAGAGGTCCTTGCCTGACCGAAACCTGCCTGTCACTTAAAAAAAAGAAATCACTAATTTTTTTTAATTTTATGGCATTGAAATCTATCAAGGCATGAAGTCGAAAGAATAAAAACAGAGTGCCTTTCTGGATGCCTTCAGCTTTCTGTGTCTTTCCTAGCTAAAGGAGGCCAAAGTTGAACAGAAAAATTCTCAAACCCAGGAGACACAGCGAAGTGCTTCCTTTTAAGCCGAGAGTATAGAATGCCAACACTTCTGGGAAATAAACAGCAATTTGATGGCACAATCTTGCAGTTTTGAACTGGCCAGAGCAGTCCTGGGAATGTGGTTAGCAGCTCCTAGGCAGATTGGTTATCAGGCCCCGGAGGCCGCCCCAATCTACAAAATTCGTTTTAAGAACTCACTGAAGTCCAGTTTCGTTTCGCCAGCCGCGAGATCGCCGTTCTGAAACAGCGGTATAACTGGATGTTGGTTTCCTCGATAAGTTGAACATTTTCTCTTCGACGGCTGGTGGAAAATTCTAGCCTTAACTGACCTCGCTTCTAAAACCTACCAACCCCCCCCCCACCACCCCACCAAGCTGTTTAGAACTAGACACCCACAAGAAAAGGCAATCTCTCAAGTCACACAAGAGAGAAAAACATATAAAGAAATCATGAGACACTGTAGAGAGAACACAGTGCCACAATTCACTTGTTTTGAATCTTGGGACATTTAAGGATAGAGAAATGGAGCCTACTTAATACTCTGTTGTAGAAGAAAATAATTTTGGACCCAGCTGCTCTACTCTGAAACATACACGCTCATCCATCATAATAGAACGTTTTAAGTTTAATTTAAATATGGTAGGATAGAGAATCAAACCCCAGATTCTAAAGACTTCTTTCTTTTTTCTTTTTTTTTCTTTTCCCTTCTCTCTTACTGCAGGCGCATGTTTCCCCCATTTAAAGTAAGGTGTTCTGGGCTGGATAAAAAAGCCAAATACATTTTGTTGATGGACATTATAGCTGCCGATGACTGTCGATATAAATTTCACAATTCTCGGTGGATGGTGGCGGGTAAGGCTGACCCTGAAATGCCAAAGAGAATGTATATTCACCCAGACAGTCCAGCTACCGGGGAGCAGTGGATGTCCAAAGTTGTCACTTTCCACAAACTGAAACTCACCAACAACATTTCGGACAAACACGGATTTGTAAGTTTCATCGCTCCCTTCAGTAAAAATGTTGGGTTTCTTCACTCTAGCAAAGGCAATGCTTCCCCCATGCCATGTAAAATCGTGAGTTTCTGCTCAGACTTCTCCCTGTGGTGAACCGTATAGGGAACTTGTTGGATCTACTACAGAGTTGGAGAGGAGTCGGGGGTGTTTTAATTCGGAGAATGAAGGCCTGGTGTTCTAAAAGAGACGAGATCAAAAAGCCTTACCGGTTTCTGTTCCAGGGCAATGCCCGGTCTTGGGAATACCCTGACCTGACGATGAAGTTAAAAACCAATTGTTAAGATAAAAAAAAAAAAAAAAATCAATTTTAAAGTTACGTGTTCATAAAGGGTTTGTTTTCAGATAGCCTATTTCTATTTTGAAACCGGCCATATTAATTCTTGGGAGAGTTTTCAGGTTCGAAGCCTTGCCTCCATCGGTTAAAGGGTGTGAATCCACTTTCGGAAAGATTGCTTTCTTCTACTAAAAAAGAATCGGGCTTAGGTGAAAGTCAGGTTTACTAGTAATGAGACAGATCTCTGGTTTAAAAATCGTGTGTGTTGGGAGCGTATGTGTGTGTGTGTGTGTGTGTATATATATATTCAGTGGGAGCATACTTAGCAACTTTCAGAAGGCTTGGATTGCTTGTAAAAGTCAAGCAAAAGACCTTTTGCCCCCAGCCCCTACCCCTCCCCAACATTTCAATAAAATAAACAGTGATAAGCGAGGAATAAGCAGAAAGATTAGGCCCAGGAAGCCGAGAATGGCGCGGAAATATCTTCAGCGGGCAGGAATTGCATTTGAAGCCCTTGATTTGATTAAGGCGTAAATATTCCTCTCTAGAGTTCAGCCTTTCAGGGCTTTAAGTGGAGTGGGCTCATCAATTAGTGGGCGCTTAAAGGACTGAATCATTTTGTAAATTAAAATGCATGTTTTTCTCTATCTTTTAAGACTTTGGCCTTCCCAAGTGATCACGCAACGTGGCAGGGGAATTATAGTTTTGGTACTCAGGTAGGCTAGGGTTCAAGGTTCAAACGAACCTTAGATGGTGAGGGTGGTGGGGGACCCTTTGGAGACTGATGAGCAATTTGGACTCTCCAGAAGATAACATCTATGGGGCGAAACCTACCCAAAGAAGCGCCCCCAGGAGGTGGGCTAGGTACAACCTCGGTGCCCTCCGGTGGGGTAGCTGTCAGCCTGGCAGGGGTCCTAAGATCCTCTTTGTCCCGCTAAGTCCTTTTTTGATGTGTGTCTCTCCTCCCTGTCCCTGCAGACTATACTGAACTCCATGCATAAATACCAGCCCCGGTTTCACATTGTCAGAGCCAATGACATCCTGAAACTTCCTTATAGTACATTTCGGACCTACTTGTTCCCCGAAACCGAATTCATTGCTGTGACAGCGTACCAGAATGATAAGGTAACCGAAGATGCTTTTCTTTTCAATGGTGTGGGCTGCTTCCTGCTCTTGAAGCTGCTTTGGGTGAGGATGAGAAAAATCACAGGCGCATTTGGGATGGAGGTCTTGAGTTTTCTTTTGCGATTGAACCGTCTGCGGAGTTTTTGGGGGGGGGGAAAAGAGATGCTGGCACATTGTGGAGGCAGAAGAAGAAACAAGAAACAAGAAAGGAAAAATGCCAAACTAATAACGTTGCCCGTGAGAAGCTCCCACAGCCGCCGGCGCTGATGCCACCCGCCCCGCCCCCGCCCCGGGCTTGCTCCTCTTCAAGGTTCATCCTCTTCCCCCTCAGGAAGAAGGATCAAGAAATCAGGTTCGAAAAGATCCGCTCCAATTTTAGGGCGAAAGCCACGGGGGATGCTGGGAGGAGAATCCCAGTCGAGACCAGGATTTCTCCTCTAGCCGAAAATCCTGAGATCCTTGAGTAGCTGGTCTGGTTTTTATTACCTTTTATGTTGCTGTGTTTTTTATGGTGTGTGTGTGTGTGTGTATGTGTGTGTGTGTGTGTGGTTGGAAAAACCTACTCTGATCACAGGGTCATGCTAATTGAGTTGTCTGAGGCTTTTGAGAGGAGGTGACCAAAGTCACCACTTCATCTGAAGTTTTTTGTTTTTTTGTTTTTTTCTCCCTTGGGCCTGAGGCCGGGGATTAAGAGTGTCCCCAAATGGAACGGGCAGGCAGCACCTGGTATGTAAAGTTATGGTGGCCTGAAGGTCATGGGCACATAGCACAGAGAATACAAAGTGACTCTTGCTGTCATTTACCAGTCGCCAGCTCAGCTGTTAGCAGGCAGTTATGGGGGTGGGGCATCTGAGGACCCCTTCTGAACCCTGGACCTCAGTGAGAGTCCGGTTCACCGGCCAACACCCTGCATTTTGGATTCACTATCATTATAGGTGGGTCCTCTGTGGCCAGCTGATGGGGGTGGGTGTTTTAGATACGTTTCCTTAGTCACATATCCTCTCCCTGAAAGTCTTGCACACAGGAACTTATTTCAAGAATCCCACCAAGGGGCCTTTTTCTACCTCTAGGAAACTCTGTATATATTATTTTTCCCCCCCGAAGAGAAGGGATTTGAAAAATTACATACTATGGCATTTTCCCCCTAGTGTGTAGAATGCATCTCTCTCTAGACCCAGAATCCCGTGAATCTCAAGTTGTTAGTGTAATAATAAATTGTAGCATTTTTGATCAGACAAAGAGGCCATGGGCCTTCTCCACCTAATGGCAGTGGCAGGGCATATAAATGAAAACAAATGTTTCCAGTGGTCATTTAGTCCTTTTAAATCTGTAATTGTCAATATTGTAATTCCTCAAACCACCCCCCCCGCCCCGCCGCCCCACCACCGCTGCCCAGCAAAAAAATCAGACTCACTCTAGCACAAGGGTAGCAAAACCCCATAAATCATTTTATTAGATTCATAGGGGGTGAGTGTATGTGGGGTGTGTGTGTGTGTGTGTGTGTGTGTGTGTGTGTGTGTGTGTGTGTGTGTTCAGGGCCAGGAAATATGTCACAACATATTTATGATTAATTGTACTGTATAAAAAAGTCAAAATGAAAGCATACTTTTAAGATCTACAGGTTGTCTCTTTTGACAATTCTGACAATGTTTCCAAGCTGTTGGCTTGGAAAGAACGAGGCCTTTCCCAGGCCAGGGTAATTCCAGCCCAGACGCCCTGGTTGGCCTGCCATGGGCAATGCAAGCAAGCTAATGGTAGAGTTTCCTTTGATTTTTTTTTTTTTTTAATCTCAGACCCTCCTAACTTCTGTTATTATCTTCTCTTCTTTCCTCTTTAACCTGGCATAGCTGAATGACATCTCCTATTGGCAGTCGAATTTGTAATAAACTGTGGAGTTGGGGGAAACACCCCCAGAACATTCTAGAAAATGAGGCCAATGGGTCTTTCTTGTTTGTGTCTCCTCCTCTAGATAACTCAGTTAAAAATAGACAACAACCCTTTTGCAAAAGGTTTCCGGGACACTGGAAATGGCAGGAGAGAAAAAAGGTGAGCGGAGACCGTTACTTATTTCTCAGATAATTTAGAAAAATCACTTCACCAGGTCCCAAGTCTCAACTGTTAGAAGTGGGATGCTGGCACTTCATACTGAGATGGGGAGGGGAGGGCGGGCCATCATTCACTCCTTCCATGGTACCTTGAAGGAAATTAACTAGGCCACACCATAGTTCTCCGGAAGAATAGCATCAAGAGTAATCGTTTATATATAGATGCCTATTAATTCCTAATTAATTGACGTTCGTCCTGGGCAGGTCCCAGGAAAAGACTAAGCCATTCACAAAATGCTTTGGAATTCTTGCAATCTCCTCCTGCACATACCACCAGACAGAAGTGAGGCCCCTGGAGAAATTTGTGGCTCCCTCCTTCATGGGCACATGTATCATTTTGCATTAAGCAGACAGCTGGATAGTATATGAAAGAAGCACTCCCCTCCCCCGCCCTCTGTCAAGGAATTTCTAAAATCTAGACAATCAACCCAAATTTTCAACCTATCTCCGGCGGGAGGAGGAGATTGGTTGGACATTAAAAAATAATTTCTAACTTCTGAATAGATTCTTTTTTCACTCCGATCAATACCCATTGGTGAACGGATTACAGAGAAGTGCACCGTGGAAGAATCACTTGCCCCTAATCTTAGCCGTCAGTGTGCAGTGGGGAGTTCGTAAGCTGTTTATGTTCACCGAGTTGGGTCCCCCATTCTCCTCCCTCTTGTCAGGCTGGCAGTTCAGCTGTCTCTAGCCAGCTCCAAACTTCCCTCTCCCCTGTTGTTTTTTGCTTTTAAACAAGATTTCACAGCTCAAGTCCATGCCCTTTCCTTAAGGAAACTCTGATCTTAACCAAATGCAACCTAAGCCACCTTCCTGCCTCCCCTGGTACCACACTCTTAGAGGGTCAAGAACAATGCGTGGGTCTGTGTGGCACCCCCCACCACCCCCCCTGCCCCCGGCAAGAAGGTGGCAGAGCTAGGGTTGTTCACGGGCAGCAAGCAGGGTGAGGGGTGAGGTGTGTGCGTGCCTCTTTGGAGAGGGGAGACAGACAAAGCGGGGGAAACGTGTGTTCCATTCTGTGATGCTGGCTGTGGGCTTCTGCCGCAGGAAACAGCTCACCCTGCAGTCTATGAGGGTGTTTGATGACAGACACAAAAAGGAGAATGGCACCTCCGATGAGTCCTCAAGCGAACAGGCAGCCTTCAGCTGCTTTGCTCAGTCCTCGTCCCCAGCTGTCTCCACTGTTGGGACATCCAACCTGAAAGGTAAGCCTGGTCACCTTCGCTGTCTGGACTCCAGGTCTTGGAGGCCTGGGAGAGTTGGGGGCCGGGTCACCCACCAGGGGAGTTGCCCTACAAAAGCTGCAGGCCTTTTTAGAAGTCTGTAAACAGGAGCCAACATTCAAAAAGGCTGATCAGGTCTCTCCCCCTTCCTAAGCTAGTATAAAGAGAGCTCAGAACCCCTTCCCCTCAGACCTTAGTTTGGATGGGAGTATGGTGGTCTCTGGCTGTTTGTGTAGCTCCTTTTGGCGAGGGCAGCTTAGAAAGTGTGCCTAGAGCGCTCGCTCTCTCCCTCCCTCCCTCCCTCCCTCCCTCTGTCTCTCTCCCTTTCCCTCTCTCTCTCTCTCTCTCTCTCATGCATGCACACACACACATTGTCCCCAATCAAGCAACTACTGATTTTTTGCCATCTTTGAACTCCAAGGTAAAATGTGTTGGGCTGGGGAAGCTGGGGATTCTCTGGCACCTGGAACATGGAAGGTGGCTGAGACACATCCAGTTAGAGACCATCAACCTGTGAAAGGAAATGAGGCACTGGGGATGTGACTTGGGAGGGGAGGAAGGAGGGCTGGGAGGAGACGAGATGGTTCAAATCCCCAGTTGGTTTCCTGTGTTTAAAAAGCAAAGAACTATTTATTCAGAAAGACACACACACACACACACTCTCTCTCTCTCGCAACGGGAAGAAACCTGTTTTTTACGTTTAATAGAAATGAAAGTCCTTTATGTCTTCAATCCATTTAAGCTTTAAACACAAAATAGGATCCCCTTTTCTTTTTTTTTTCTAGTAGGACAGCTACAGAGGGTGTGGTGAAAGCCAAAAGAATCTATGGTTGTTCTGGGGACAGGGCGATGGCTGCTCAGCACCCATCTCCCTCTGCAGGGACAGGGGCCAACAGAGAGGCTGGGTGCAGTGTGTATGTTGGGGTCGGGAGTGTTCATTCCTGCCACTTCCAATTCAGATATCGGGGTTCTCGCCATACAAATCCTCACGAAAGGATGCATGACTTTGTGGAAGGTGTCCCCGCAGTGCCAGTGCGTTGTATTTAGTAAGCTAGTTTGTATGTTTTAAAAGAGCAAATTTGCAATCGCATGGGGAAAGGTGAACAAAGCCATAGTCTGACACGGTAGGATCTCTATCCACGCTTGTAAAAACTAGTAAAATGCATTACCGATTTGGCCAGGTGTCTGTGGAGGGAGGGTTTCCATCTATCTACATACTTAAAATTCATTATTAGCTTGTTGGCTCTTTCCGCTAAAGTTGCGAAGCAGCCTGAACCCCCATTTTGCAGATGATAAAACTGAGGCCCCGAGAGGGTAAGGGACTTGCTGGGTGTTACCCAGCTAGTAAGTGGCGGGCAGATTTTCAAACTGGGGAACTGTCCCTCCCCTGGCCCGGATTGGCGCTAACGCCCTTCCACCTCATTTTGGTTCCCCCTCCTCCCCTGCGGTAGATCTGTGTCCCAGCGAAGGTGAGAGCGACGCGGAGGCCGAGAGCAAAGAGGAGCACGCCCCCGAGGGCTGCGACGCGGCCAAGATCTCCACCACCACGTCGGAGGCAGATTTTCAAACTGGGGAACTGTCCCTCCCCTGGCCCGGATTGGCGCTAACGCCGTTCCACCTCATTTTGGTTCCCCCTCCTCCCCTGCGGTAGATCTGTGTCCCAGCGAAGGTGAGAGCGACGCGGAGGCCGAGAGCAAAGAGGAGCACGCCCCCGAGGGCTGCGACGCGGCCAAGATCTCCACCACCACGTCGGAGGAGCCGAGCCGCGACAAGGGCAGCCCCGCGGTCAAGGCGCACGTCTTTGCGGCCGAGCCCGGCGGCCGGCCCCGGGACAGCGGGCGGATGGATAAGGCGTCGCCCGACTCGCGTCACAGCCCGGCCACCATATCGTCCAGCACCCGCGGCCTGGGCGCGGAGGAGCGCCGGAGCCCGGGCCGGGAGGGCGCGGCCACGTCCAAGGCCGAGGAGGCACGGGCGCTCCCGGGCAAGGAGTCCTTCGCGCCGCTCACCGTGCAGACCGACGTGGCCGCCGCGCACCTGGGCCAGGGCCCCCTGCCTGGCCTCGGCTTCGCCCCCGGCTTGGCCGGCCAGCAGTTCTTCAATGGGCACCCTCTCTTTCTGCACCCCGGCCAGTTCGCCATGGGGGGCGCCTTCTCCAGTATGGCCGCTGGCATGGGGCCCCTGCTGGCCACCGTGTCCGGAGCTTCCACCGGTGTCTCAGGCCTGGATTCCACGGCCATGGCCTCAGCCGCAGCGGCACAGGGACTGTCTGGGGCGACCGCGGCCACCCTGCCTTTCCATCTCCAGCAGCACGTCTTGGCCTCCCAGGTATTTACCCCCTTTCCTCCTGCCTCCTCTGCGGCCCCTTCCTCCATTCACCGCTCTGTTTGATACCAGACCCTCCCGCCATTCCCCGGCCTAGTAGCTTCGAATGATAATAATTACTAATCATCGCTAGGTGTAAGGCTTATCTGATTGATTCATCATAACCCATACTCCCCCCGAAAAATCTTAATTTTTTTTTTTCTGAGTTAAGGGCTGTTTATAGCAGAGTAGGTAGGTAGCAGTAATAACTACACACAGCACTATGTTGTGCCAGGCATTCTTCTAAGTAAGTACCTGATCTATTCTGACTTCGGTGGTATAGATGAGGCCCAGAGATGTTGAGTCACTTATCCAGGGACGCACAGCTGGTAGGTGGTAGAGCTAAGACTCTACCCCCGGACGTCCGACTCCAAGGTCTGTCATTTTCTCTTTAGAGCTGAAATGTCTGTTAAATGTCTCATCGCCAACCTCCCCTCCCCTGCTCCCCCCCCCCGAATTAAACAAGAGGGAGACTGAGGTATCCCCGGGTGAGAACTGAGTCTTGCGTCTTTCAGCCTTTCCTCCTAATTCGAAGCTTTTCCTGCCCGCCCCACCAACCCCAAGCAGGCCAGCCTGTTCCCTAAAGGGTTAACGGTTTGTGCGCACGCGGGCGATGTCAGAGGACAGCCTGGCCGCCTCTGTAGGGTTCTGATCTGTGAGGGGGCTCGCAGCTGCCGGGGAGAAGTCTCAAGCCACTCGGAAATGCTCCGAACCAGGACAAAAGTTCTGTGGGGTTTTCTGCCCGCCCTGTCCTTGCCTTTTGTCTCCTGTGGGCACATCCCTCCCTCTCCCTTCCCTGAGCTGAGAGGCAGGATGGGCCTCTCCCTCTGGGGGGAGGAGCAACCTGAGAAATGGGTTGGTTTCTGGCCCTTCTCGATTTCTGTCATCTCCTCCGATAGTCCCTCCTGGAGACCCTGTCACAGGTGGCAGGTGATAGGTGGGTAAGGGGCTCCCTGTGCAAACTAGTACTAATGGTACCTCGAGGTGCAAGGGACAGATAACTGGCCCAGGTCAAGGGCCCTGAATTTTAAATTCTGCTTCTGCCACTTGCCAGCTGAATGGCTTCTTGTGCCCCTGGGGCCTATCTCGGTTTCTCCACCTGTGACACCAGCATATCAGGCTAGGTGGCTACTTTGTCTCTGTTTATAGCAAACCCCTTCCCCCCACTTCCCAATTTCCTTTTGCTTAAGATCTTCCCTGGACTTTTTTCATTTGCCAAACTTCTGGGAGGGATAGGAAGGCTTGGGGGCGGGGCCCGGACTAAGAATGAAAACTAATTATGTCTAATCATTTCTGCCCTCTGGTTGTCACTCAGCTACCATTGGGTAGACGGACTCTGTAGCCCCATTTAACAGCTGTAACCACTGAGCCTGATGGGAGACTTTCTAACAGTCCTATTGGCCGGACGCCCTGTGTAGCATATTGAAGGCATTAGCTCATTTAATATCCACAGAGTTCCCCCATAGTATATGAATTATTTAATATTTCCTTTTTTTTTTCCCATATGAGAAAGCCGATGCACAGGGAGTGCAGTACCTAGGCCTAGGGTGACACAGCTAAGATTTAGATCTAGTCTAAGTGTCCTCCTCCCCTCCTCCCAAAGCTGCCCCCTCCCCAGGAGAGAGAACAATGACCTACCCAAGGTCTCAAGGCGGTGAAGAGAACAGACTTAGATAAGGTCGGCTTTTCCCCACCCTTCAGACCCTTCTCGGCTGACTCACTGCATGCGTTTCTTTTCCATCCCCAGGGCCTGGCCATGTCACCTTTCGGAAGCCTGTTCCCTTATCCTTACACGTACATGGCCGCGGCGGCGGCCGCCTCCTCTGCAGCGGCCTCCAGCTCCGTGCACCGCCACCCCTTCCTCAACCTGAACACCATGCGCCCGCGGCTGCGCTACAGCCCCTACTCCATCCCCCTGCCGGTCCCCGACAGCAGCAGCCTGCTCACCACCGCCCTGCCGTCCATGGCTGCGGCTGCCGGGCCCCTGGACGCCAAAGCCGCCGCCCTGGCTGCCGCCAGCCCGGCCTCGGTGGCGGTGGACTCGGGCTCGGAACTCAACAGCCGGTCCTCCACCCTCTCCTCCAGCTCCGTGTCCTTGTCGCCCAAACTCTGCCCGGAGAAAGAGGCGGCCACCAGCGAACTGCAGAGCATCCAGCGGTTGGTCAGCGGCTTGGAAGCCAAGCCCGACAGGTCCCGCAGCGCCTCCCCGTAAACCCCTCCCCAGAAAAAGTCTCTTCATTCCAGTCCAGTCACGTCTGCAGTGCACTTTGTTGGATGTAAAATAAACCCCGGGCGTGCAGTTGGGGTTAGCCCCGCTTTGTGCAGTCCTGTCTGGGAAGGGGTGCCGGACTCCCACAAGAGAATGTGCCAGAAACAGGCCCTGTCTTTCTTGGCGTGGTGGTTTATATATCCGGGATCTGGCTCAGATTCTGGGGTCTCAGAAATGTCTGTTGCGCTGAGCTGTGGCGGGTGGGAGTTAAAACAGGTCTGTCCAGAGCACACCTCCAGCGAGGCTGGCCTGGGAGCCTGGGAAGGAAAAGGTAGCCAGACCCACTGGGAGGGGAGGTGTTGAAAGGCTTCTCCACCCCGCCCCCTCCACCACCCCCCAGTGCGGATTTATATTTTTTTTTTTCCTTCACCGTGTCAAGTGGAAACAAAAACAAATAAAAATTAAAAAAAAAAAATACCGGGGGCAAATGAATACATTAACATGATTCTGTTTGTGAAGATTAAAAACTTTATAGTGACTTGCGTATCAGTTCTAAATAAATTACTGAGCAGCATATTTTTTTCGTTGTTGGGGGGAGTTGCTGCCAGCCTTGTTTAGTCTCTATTAAGGAAATCTGTGTCTTTTTAATATTCTTGTGATGTTTTAAGGGCCGCTATAGGTCTCTTCTTGCATGTTCCACCGTGATGTATTTGTGGTTTTTCATTTTGAATGCTTGCTTTTAGAGAGAAAAGAACATGACCCCACAACTTTTCCCCAATTCTCATCGGCAGACTCCAAGGGGGAGGATTTAAAGGGAAGGGATGGGGAAGACACACACACACACACACACCAAAAAATGAGTTTATTTTATCTAAGCTCTGTAGCCGGATTCATGTCTCTGGCGGTTCTTTCTCTTTCCTGTATATGCAATAACAAGGTTTTAAAAAAAAAAATAATAAAGAAGAAGCGAGACTATTAGCAAAGTATTTATGTAATTATTTGATAACTCTTGTAAATAAGTGGAATATGAATGCTCGGGAAATTAAACTTTAATTTATTGACACTGTATATAGCTCTATGTAAATAGGATTGCAGCTGTCAGGTTGTGTGTTCTTGTTTCCTGTAGTCAATTTTATTTCAAGGTCACAGGATCGCTTTTGAAATTAGAAAAAAATACACTTTCTGCACCAACACTAACACACTTTTCAAGAGTTGTCTGCAAAAAAAAAAAAATATTTTTTCTTTTTTAATGTCCAAGAGTAAGGAAAATGCTAATGGCTATTTTACCCAAAATTGGGGAGGTGGGGCCACTTCTTAGCTCCATCTTAAATTCCTTAAACTATATAACACCCTAAGAGTGGTTCTGAGGTTTCTTGGGGGAGGGGTGGAGGGGCGGGGAGTACAGAGGCTGTGGTTTGGTTTTCTAAGTTTTCTTTCGTATTTGTATTTGCTAGTCTCTGATTTCTTCAAAACGAGCTGGAATTGACTACTGTCTTCAATATTGATAGTGTTTTGGATTGGTGCCTATAGAGATATATACTCACAGTTCAAAAGTCAGGTGCTGAGAGATGGTTTAAGACAAAAGCTCATGAAGGTATATTTTGTGTTATAATTGTTGATGAGTTCTTTGGTTTTCTGTATTTTTTTCCCCCTCTTTAAAACATCATTGAAATTTCAATAAATTTTTATTGAAATATCTTTGGGCCTCCGTGTTGTGCTTTCTTTGGCAAACTTTGCTGTGAGTGGAGTCTTTCCTCGCTTCCTCTGTCCCCTTCCCTTTCCCTTTAAGTAATTAAAGCCGCCCCCACTGAACCGAAATGAGATGTCACTCAAGTTACAAAGCTAAAAACAAAAGTCCCTTACTCGGCAAAGGGAACCAGCCGCTTCAATCTGAAATTACTTTTCCTTTAAATTAGGGAGCAAAACGAGAGACGGAAGGGGGCTGATTAGAACTGGATAGAATAGCAATTTCAGATACTTCAGTTTTAATGGAAAAAGAATGCTCCCCTCCCTGAGTCAGTGTTTCCCACACGAATCCAACCCAAAACTCCATTGGAGGATTGCGAACGTTTTTTGGTTTAGCCTCGCTCTCCATTTCCCCCTCAATCTGGGAAAGCTAAGGCAAAAATCCCCTTGCACCAGTGTGCAAAAAAAAGCAGAATCTCCTCCGGGCCAGCCCACCTGTCAAGACGGTTTGTAGGGGAAGTGGACGAGACTGGACGTTCCCCCTTGCAGTCCCCTAGGAGGCCCCATCCCGAAGTCGTGGGCGCAAAGTGAGGCCAGCACCCCGCAAAGTTGGCTGTGTCACAGGAGGAGGAGACCTGCTTACGAGGGCAAGGTAGTCCCAGGGTGCATTTGTGACACTGTCCAAGGGGAAAGTCACCCAGGAGGCTGACACCCTTCTCCAGCTCTCCCTTCTAGCCAGCCTCCAGGCTGTTTTGGGAGTTGCCTTTTGAAGTTCAATTTATCTTGGAAACGTTCAATAAAAAATAGTGAGGCTGGGACTATCTTTTGGTCTCTTAGCCTCCCTACCTCCCCCCCACTCCAGCTTCCCCATGGAGGTGTGTGTGTGTGTTGTGTGTTGTGTGTGTGTGTGTGTGTTGTGTGTGTTGTGTGTGTGTGTGTTGAGGAGGGCATGGGAAGGTTTTTGAAGCTTTTCTTGCCCTGGAGGCCATGACGTGAGGACCCAGCGGAGTCTGCCTGGCGGCTGCCCTCCCCCCTCCCTGGAGCCCGCCAGCCGGGCCCCAAGTCCCTGTCACCTTCGAGCCTCTTGAATGGCCGGCGAGGAAGACCCCCTCCCTTCCCTTATCTTGTACTTGGAAGGGGCTCGAAGTCGAGATCTTTTTTGGGGGGGAGGAGGGAGAGGCAAAGCCCCTTCCATCTCCAGCAAGGCACGTGGGGAGCCCCACAGCCTCACCTGCGCTGTCTCCTGGGGTGGGAGGGAAAACAATCAGGATGCGTGCGTGCGTGTGCGTGTGTGTGTGTGTGTGTGTGTGAGAAATGGGGGGAGCTGACAGGGCCTGGGGACCTTTAGGGCGTTAGCTCCCTCGGGGACCTGGAGGTTTCAAGGGCGCGCGTGGGTGCTTGGCTCCGCGGTTGCACGCAGGGCTGCGCCCCTGAAAGGTGCCAGTTGGCGGGTCGCGCCCAGGGCGCTCTCTGGAGTTGGAGGAGCAAGCAGCCTCGGCCTCAAAGACAGAAGGAATGCTTTTCTTTCTCGGTCGAGATTTGCAGATTTGCTCACCTCCTCTGCAACGGCCCCCTCCCTTCCCCCTCCAGTTCTCGGACAGTGCTCAGACGTGTGTCCAGCCTCTCCACAGCCTGCTTTTTTTTTTTTTTTTAATCTCCTGTGTATCTTATTTGTATATAGTGATGTTAATGAGTAACTCTTGTGGCGCTGATGGACGGGGGCTGAATGGCTCACAATCTCTCTGGATTTCGTTGCCTATTACTCACCTGGCGCCGGTCGCAATCTCGCCGCAGGCTTTATGGTGGCGGCGGCCGCCGCGGAGGCCACTCAGGGCCGGCGCCTTTGCCTTTTTTCCGGGCTTCGAGTGCCACCTATCTGTCTGGCCCACGAATGCGCCTCGGTGGCCGCCGCTCGCTCGGCACCCCAGCGCCAACTGGGTCCCGGAACCTGGGCGCGTCACCTTTGCCCCTTCTCATCCTCGCTACCGGCCCCCCAGCCTGCGCACCCTTCCTCTACGCCACCCCCAGCCCATCTTCGGAAGAAGCTGCCGTCCTCTCTTTCCTGAATATCACTTTCACTCCTGTTGGGGCCTCAGATGAGAAAAACAGTCCTTCCCGCCTCTGGGTTTCCAAAGAGCCAAAGGGAAATTCAGGGAGGAGACCCTCTCTTCTCATTTTCCCGCCAAGTCCCGCGCCGCTTGATCTAGAATCTCCAGCGGTTCCCCGACCCTGCGGGCGGGGGTCTGACCTGAACTCAGGCTGGGTAGATGGAGGGAGAAAGGATCACCCCCTCCCCAATACACACAAGTAAAATCCTACCCTGGATGCAACTTCCCTTTGCCTCGACTCTCTTTCTCACTTTCTAGCCCTGGATTTATTTATTATGATTATTATTATTTTGTTTTGTTTTGTTTTGTTTTTTCCCGCTGGCCGCGTCTACAGGGACAAAGGCCACTCACTGCTCGCGGGAGCAGCAGTCCGTAAAGGGGTCCGCTACAGCAGCCTGCAGGACCAAGCGACCTGGCGATTTGTAGATTTAAGGTGACAATTGCGGGTGCCGGCCTGAGCTCTCGGCCCCCGCTGCGCGGGAAGGTCGGCTCCCAGCCCGGCTGCGCCCTGGCGTCTGAGACAGGCGGCGGGGGAGGGGTGGGGGTGGCCTTTTGCTGCGCTTTGAGCCGCGGGGGAAGGCGTCCGGGGTCCTGCTGACCTCCCGGCGCTAATTGCAGGGGCCGAAGGGCGCGCTCCGGCGGAGGCAGAGGTCACGACCCTGCGTCCCCACTCCCGGGTCTCGGGAACTGCGAAAGAGCCGGGTGTGTGCACGCTGGCGTGCGTCTGTGAGTGTGGGGAGAGCCTCCTTTTGGATCCGCGCTGTCCTGGAACCCACCCTTTCTTTGTGGGGAAAGTTCCCGGCGCGTAGGCCCTTAAAAAAATTCCATCCAAAAAAAAAAAAAAAAAACCCCTTGCTGTGACCTTTCCCCTAAGCCAGCAGACAGGCAGCCGCCTTCGGGCGCTGCAAGTGGCTTGAAACGCTTCGTGTCCGCGCGCTTTCTGCCTCGCTGGTTTCCAAATTTGACCTCAAGGCACCCAGCCAAGAGAGTGGCTGTTGGGGTGTAGACGCGAGCCTGCGAGCCACAACCTGGGTTTTTATATTGATAGCTGTGGATGTTTGTCCCTCTGGGTAGCTTTTCCCGTGTCTCCGTTCAGGGGACAGGTACTACAGGTGTTAGGGGTAGATGTGTGTGTGTGTGTGTGTGTGTCCGTGTGTGTGTGTGCGCGCGTGTGTGCGTGCACTTGTGCGTGCTCCATCTGTAGACGTCTCTTTCAATTTGCATTTAGAAGTTCATGCGCAAGACAGTTCCGGATGTCGATGCATTTGGTTGTTTTATAATCAAGATGCGTATAATCAAGAAGTATATATGTTGCAGATGTTGGCGTTCAAAGTACACGTAACAACAATAATAAAAATAGCTGGCATGTAAAGGCCATGTGCACGTGCCAGTTCCTCGGTTAAGCACCCCACAAAAGCGATCTTTAATCCTCACAATTAACCCTTGAAGGCGTATGCGACTTCCTTCCCTGTTTTACGGAGGAAACTGAGGCACAGAGCAGTTAAGTCCCTTACACAAGATCGCCCGAGAGACGAGCCAGAATTCCAACCAGAGTGGGTTCCAGAATCCTCTTTAATTAATCACTATTCCTAATTCAGACGTGGGTGCAGGTACCTGTAGTGCCTGTGTCCCGGATGTAGAGAAACCTATGGGCGTCTTCCGGATTTTGGTGTGACTCTCACGCGCTTTTCCTATGAGAACATTTTAATTTCTTCGGGCATCTGCCGTGCAATGTGAAAGAACAGCTTTTATTCCGGCGTCCCATGCCCGGCCCTCTCTCCCTAGTGTCCCGACGGACCCTCAGGCTTCGGGGCCTTTGTTCTCAGGCTGATGAAGCGAGAGGTGGGCTGGGGACAAAACCCCCAGACCCCGAGTTCTCCTCCAGACCGGTGTCGCGAGGGAGAGGGGATTTCAATAGCCCCGGCGCGACCCAGGCCGGGCTGGGCCGGGCGACCGGATGAACTGCAGAGTTTCCCTCTGCCCGCTCTGTGGGTGTCTTGGGCTCTCTCTCTGCCGGCCTCGGAGGCTCCCTCTGCGCCCCTAGCATTTGCTCTGCTCCATCTGCCCAGGCGCGAAGGCCGGAGACTACACAGGTGGGGACTCTTCCTGGCCCAAGGGCCCGTTCGCTCTTTCCTGGTTCCACCCTATCCAGCTTCCAGGAACCGAAGCAA